GGTGGCTGCCCAGGGCTCCAGCATGGCTGCTCCCCACCGGCCGGCCCCGTGCTCCTCAATGCCACCTCTGTTCTCCCTCTTGGGTCAAAAGCGCGGCTTTTGTGAGCTCGCCCTAGTCGTGGCTCATCCCTGGAGCCCTGGCGTTCCTCCTGGCTGCCCTCCGCCGGCAGAAACGCAGCCCAGCTGTGGCCAGCTGCTGTCTGATTTTACTTATTTATTTTTGCTTTTGGCCAACAGCTCTGGCTGGGGAGTGGAGACGTGGGGCTGCTGGCTGTGTCCGGGGTAACAGCGGAGACGCCTCGGGGCTCCCCAGCAACTCTTAGGCGGAGACAACTACTACCCTCCACCAAAATGCCTGGCTTCTCCCTCAAGTGGCTGCTGTAACCCAAAATACATGGGGAGTAAAAGGATGCACAGCAAAGCAGGCTAAAAATAGGCATTTTATTTCATTAACATGAATTGGAGGAGGCAGCTTAGCGCCAGGCTATTGCTGGGTGAACATCTGCACATGGCAAACACCCTGAAACTCCTCGTGCCTCTGCCAGGTATCACGTCACCCACTGGTGCTTCTGGCAAGTATTTCTGGGGCTCCCCCCAGGCAGGGGACATGTGCAGATACCAAGGAGACAGATTCTTTGGGCTCCGCGCTGTTGTATTTTTGATTAAATAAGTCCGACCATCTTCCAGTAGGTGACAAGGTTGGCAGTTGCTCCCCTGCTGGATGGGTGCAGCCCTGGCACTGGCTATGCTCCTCTGGGGGTGGTTATAGACCCTTGGTCCCCAGGGGCTCACCCAGGATTGTGTGGCAGGGCACGTGGTGGTCTCCGGTCAAAATCTGACCTCTGCCACCTTAGCTCTGGGTGTCTCTCTGTTTCCTTGTGGTATGTTGTGTTGCTCTGATTTTTGGGCTTGGCTCCTTGACCCGCCTCCCCCTCTTTTTCACAAAATAAATAAATAAATTCACCTGGTGATCCTGGTATGCAAATACACAGGAAAAAGAAGGAAATTAAAAAACACCAAACCCCAAACCCCCAAGCCAACTTTGAAGAGCACTAAACCACAAAGCCAACTTGTTTCATCGCAGCCCAAGCACTGGCCAGGGCTCCACGGGCAACTTCTGCCTTGACATGCCTCTGGGGCAGTTCCCAGTCTGCTGGTGTATGAAGGCACTAAACCAGTAAGGCCTCTGGGGTCCGGGTCCCTGCTGGCACCACAGGGGTCTTGTCCTTGCCTTGTCCTAGCTCGGGGAGGGTGGCAATGTGGAGGTGATTTGTCCTATCACCCTCTGCTCACCTTCACCCTCCTCTTCCTTGGTGCAGCCCCTGAGCTGGGGAGGTGGCCCCGGTGCCAAAACCCCTGCTTTTCCCCACTGCCCATCACTCTTGCAATTTCCCCCTTCCTGGGGAAACTGTCTAATTCAGGCTCTGCAGGACGCCGGGGTCGGCTCTACCAGGATGCTTCGGCTCCTGAGGCTGCCGATTTCCACCCAGCAGCAGCAAGGAGCACCTCCGGGAGCAGGGACCTCTGGGTCTCCTCTGGGCTGCCTGGGAGCACGGCCGCAGCCCCTCGTTCCCCACTGCTGCAGTCCTCCCAGGCCGTTACGTGACCCAGGAGGGCTGTGCTTCCTCCAGCAGGCTGAAGGAGCGGTTAGCCAGCGCAGCGGGGCTGCTGGCCAGCTTGTAGCCAAAGAGGCGCATGGCTGGGGCGCAGGCATCCTGCACCACCTGCGCCAGCTTGAAGGGGATGCTGAATCGCCACTTCTCGAACTGCTCAGAGGAGTTTTTGCGGGTGGAGTAGACACCGCTGCCGTCGTGGGGTGCCTGCGTGTTTTTGCCGATCCACTCCTTCACCTGGGGGGTGAGGGGGAGCCCGGCGAAGCGGTACATTTCCTCTGCCTTCTGCAAGGGCGCCTGGGCCACATCCTCGTAACGTACCAGCATGTAGCGACCCCGCAGCCAGCCCGGCCGCCGCAGCCCCAGCTCGGCCGACAGACGGAGGCCCTCGCACTTGCACCGCTTTTGGGAGCCTCTCCCTCTCCTTCGGATGCCCACTTCTTCCAGGTCTCATACTTTCCAGAGAAGGCCACCATGCGGGAGGCCAGGACAGCCCGGGGGTCCCGCACTAGCTGGATGATGCGTACATCCAGCCGAGGGTCCTCCACCAGTGGCTGCAGGAACTCCAGCTGCCGGATGCGCACGGTCTTCAGGGCCACATGCTGCTTGTGCTGGCATGCCTCAGCGGCCAGGGTGATGTTGAGGGGGCCACAGCGGCGGTTCTTGCAGTGGTACTTCTCGAAGACCTTCTTGGTGCTGGGTGTGCAGACGGGCTCCTCGCAAAGTGAGCGGCTTGAGCCCCGGCGAAACATGAAGGGCGTCAGGTGGTCCTCGGGAGCTGGCGAGATGAAGCTCTCCAAGATGTAGAGGTCACAGAGGAGGAGCTGCTTGAGGACATCCCGGTAGACCAGGGCTGAGCCCACTGCATTGGCTCCTCCTGGCTCGAAGGTCACCATCCTCTCGATGTGCCAGAGGGGCTCAAAGAGGTAGAAGATGCTGCCTTGCTGGTTGAAAAACTCCCCCACGAAGGAGGAGCCGGTGCGGGTAGTGGCCATCAGCAGGACGTGCCGCCGTGGCCTGGGGTCCCTGTTGCCTGCCAGCTGCAGCGTGATGTTGTGCAGGTGGGACCTCAGCTGGGAGAAGGCGGCGTCCAGTTCTTGCAGCGAGGCCAGTGAGCCATTCTCGGCCAGCACCGGGCTGGTGTCCGTGCCGTTGGCCTCCGCCAGCACCTGCGGTGACTGCTTCAGCTTGTCTGACACCCTGCGGGGAGACCCAGCCCAGCCTGGAGGAGAGTGGGACCAACTCTGCATCCCGGCGTGGGGTTTCGGGGGGCTCCTGCTGCACAGGAGCTTGCGAAGTGGGGGAGAGAAAGGGATAAAAGGATGGGGTGGCTTAAGTACCCACTCCCTACCTGGAGATGAAGTTGTTCTCCTTCTCAATGATGACGAGGCCGACGACAAAGACCAGCAGGATGGCGTATTTGCTCCTCATCTTCAAGCAGTATGGCAGCTCCCAGAAATCCTGGGGCAAAGCGTGTCGGATCTCCATGGGGGACACACACACGTCCCTCCCGCCTGCCGGGGAGGTGTCCTGGGCTAGCCACCTAGCATCCTCTGCCCCACCAGCCCTGCCTGTGGGGAGAAGGAGGGTCAGCACAGTGGTGGTGGCTCTCTGTGGGCAGGCGGGAGTGGGCAGGGGTCAGAGGCTGACCCTTCCCACAAAGGATGACTAACAAGGTCTTGACAAGAGCAGTAAAAAAAGGGGGGAGCTCCTCCCTACTCCTCCTATCCCACCCCCAAGGAGCAGCTGCCCCAATCCCCCATCGGCTGCTCCCCCTTCTTCCTGATGGGTCCCCTTCCCATGCCTCTGCCGGCCACCCCTGCTAGCCCTGAAACCCAATCCCCGCTACGCTGACAGCTGCCTGCTCCCTGCTGGCCAAAAACCTGCTGCTGGCAGTGAGGCCCTCCCCCCCCGGGTGCGAGAGCAGCTCCTCATCCTGATCCACAGGGCGTTGTGGCTCTCACCTGCTGGAAAGATGTACCTTGGGGGAGGGTGCAAGCTCTGCCGTAGGGCCCCGGCGTGGGCCCATGGCATGGCAGCGGTGGTGGCTCTCAGTCATGAAAATGAAACCCAGAGGGTTACTAGGAACAACGGCGGGCCGGAAAATGCTGCTGCTGCTACCAGTCCCACGTGGGGCGTAAAATGCTCCTGAGGGCTTTTTCCAAAGAGAAAAAAACCCCAAATGATGGTGCAGCTGCTCGATGCAGGAAGCAAAACCTACTGGGAGACTCAACATCCACCCACAGCAGAAAAGACCCCTCCGCCACAGCCCTCCTCCTCCTCTTCCTCCTCCCAGTGCTGATGAAATCAGGGTGACGGTGGGAGCCACTCTTGAGTTGCACCAAACCCACATCCCAAGCAAGACACAGTGGAGATTTTGTGAGCCAAAGCTGCCGTTCAGGACCCCAGTGCAGGTCCCCAGCATCTATCGTGTGTGCAAATTTACACATGTGGGGCTTGCCAGCGCCTGCTACCTGGCCACGGGTTCGCATGCCCGGCAGCCAGCCGGCCGTGTGGGTGATGCTGTTTGCTCATCCTGCTTTCTTGGCCAGACGTTCAATGACTCAGGGAAAGTCTATTTAGCTTTGATTTGGCTCCCACCAGTGTGACCCTGGCAGCTCATCCCATCCCTGCTTTCAGGGGTGAAGGTGGTGGCGGAGCCTGGCAGAGCCCTGGCCTTTGGGGGGCCCCCGGGGTTTGCTGGAGGGGAGATGCCCTGGCAGAGCCACAGTACCTGCAGTCCTCAGCAGGGTGTGGAGTGGGAAAGCCCTTCCAGGCATTGCATCACGCCCAGACCTCCTCGACCCCATCCGCAGCCAAAATGCACATTTTTTGGTGTTGCTCACTGTATGTCCCTCCTGCTAGGAAGGAGGGAGTGTGGGCAGGCAGACAGGGATGCGCTCCATGGCCAGGGCAGCATCCCAGACCTCCTGGTCCCCAGCCCCTCTGCAGAAGGACCAGGAGTTTCCTGACTTGAGCAAACCACTCAGCTCTCGGAGTTTGGCTTTGAGCCATCTCCTTCCCAGCAAAAGCTGCTAAAAAGAGACACCCACATCCACGCACCCAGGAACCCGGGGCTTCCATGGGATGCACGGACCCCAGAGAGCCCCGGTGGCTCCCGAGCCCTCCTGTGGCTGCCCCCTGGCTCCCCCCTTCCCCCTCCAGTGAGCGGCACCGACATTCCCCCACCACCCCCGCACACGTATGTGTGTGTGTTTAACAGCCCTGTTAGTTTAGTTTGTCAGCACACCAGTCCTTGGGGACAGGCCAGCAGCCAGGGCAGGTGTCTTTCACCGTGCCACCCCCTGAGTTCCCCCTCCTCAGTCCCACGCGGTGCCCCTGTGATGACAGCACTTGTCGGAGTATTTGAGCAACTGAGAGAAGAAATAAAATATACAAAGTCCTCGTTATGCGGCCATGTCTCTCAGTGCCTGGCAGAGCCTCCAGCTTTGCTGCTGCAAAGGACTTTTGGGTTTGCAGCATCCCGGGGAGCAGCAGTGGTGGTCTGAATCCCTCCCCTTGCCTCCCTGGGGCAGGAGACTGTCTCCTTGTTGCCTGTAGCACGCACGCAGCAGGAGGATGGCATCAACCACTTGCTTAGACAAAATCCCTGGGCAAAGCCAGCCCAAGGTTTTCCCTCTCATGTCCCCAGCCAAGCGACCACAAATGAGCCACAGACCAGGAATTATTTGCGGGGATGACACAGAGAGCCATTTCCAGCAGCGCTGGCAAAACCCCTGATTCACAGGCCCGGGGCAGACATAACTTGTTAAATAAACAGCTGGCTGCAAATATCCTGCCTGAGACCCACAGGGTGGCGGTGACAGGCGCGGGGGCCCTTGCACAGCTGAGCACTGGAGCTGGGGGACACACGAGGTGACCCGACGAGGCTGGCTGGGGCTGCCTGGCATCCTAAAGCTCTTCCTTGCTGGGGCCCACGAGGTGCAGGCTGGCTGGGGCAGCGAGCAAGCCACAAGCATCCCTTTGTGAGTAGGAACAGAGGGGCTCTGTGCGCCCTGTGCGCTCCCCTCTGGCCACCCGCCGGGGCTCCGCCGGGTCGGGAGGTGCGAGGAGAGCTGCTGGGATGCTGCTACCGCCCCGGGGTGCACTGCCAGTGTGAGCAGACAGACAAACGGACATCATCTCTGGCGATGGCAGGCAGACATCTCAAAGCAAGATGGAGTAATGTACACCACTGTCAAGATGATAAAAGGCGCTGCGGATTTCCCAGCTGAGTCAAAGCCAGCAAAAGGGTGTTTTGTTTTTTTTTCTTTCGGGTGGTGGTGCTGGGGTTTTCCCATGCAAAACTGCTCGGGTGAATATCCACCACTACTAGCAGCTTAACCCTGCCACAGCAAGAAGGACTCAGAGAGTAACAGAGATGCCAGATCATTCAAGTCTGCTGCAGCAGGTCGGCTTCTTGGATAAAGGACCCCACTGGTGTTGTAGGTGGGGTGAGAAGAGCAGTGTAGCCCCAGGGTAAAGGATTGCAGGGCCCAAGGCCCCATGGTGAGAGGAAGGAGGGAAGGGATGCTCTTATCACCCTTCTACAGGGCGCTTTGCAGGACTGCCCGCCTGGGAGAGTGGAGCCGGAGTTTTCATCTTGCTTTTGGGAAAGGAAGGGTCTTTCACGAAGCCTTGGGGCTCTCACTCCCCTCCTCTGGCTGCCCTGAACGCCTACTGAATGGGATCTGGGAAAGAAAAGATGCCTGCAGGCAGGCGAGGGGAGCCAGCTGGAGATGCAACTGGATTAAGTCACATTTTCCTCCGGTGAGGTGACTCAACAGGCAACAACTAAGCTCCAGAGAAGAAAAGGCGGCAAAGCACCTACTTGCAAGCTCCCTCCCTGCCTGAGATCCCTCTGTCCATCCAGCCCCTCAGCTGTCCCCCTGCAGCCCTGCCTGGCTCATGGGAGAAGGGGGCCTGTGGGGACCTGCAGCCAAGCTCGCTGCCCCAGGAGTAATTCCCTCCATGATGCTTTGCTTCATCAGATTACAGCAGCAATGTGAGCCAGCAGAACACAGGGGCAGAACAACAAAGAGATAAGGCACAGGGGCGTTTATCTGCTCTCCCCGCTGCTCTTTGTCTGCAACCCAGGGAAAAAAAAAAAAAAAACCACACAAAACCACGGAGCCCCCTCTGTATTTACTCTATCAACTATTTCCGCTCCTGACTTCCTCCCGAGGCTGGCCTTGGGAAACGTGACACCAACACTTCCCTCTTTGCTTTCATCTCCCAGTAATTTTGATCCTGCCCCTGGCTCTTCTCCAAGGCATGGCACAAGAGCAGCACGGCTTTGGTTTGCCCCCCTCTCCCCAGCACAGCTAAGGAGGCTGCCTGGGCAGGTATTTTTTGCTTAAAAACATGTGTATTCAAGCTAAAAAAAGGGAAAGGAAAAAAAAAGTCACCTCCTACGATGTTTATAAAGTTGCCTAGAATAGCCCTAAGCCTCATCAAATTGAAGCCCTGAAACTGTCCATCAGAGGAGAAAGTTGTGAATACAAAGTCCTTCTGGCTCAGGCAGGGACACCGTGCCGGTGCCTGTGGCAGATCCAGCACGTCCTGCTGTGGCACAGAGAAACCCCGGTGTGAGCAGGGGCCCTGTCCCCCAGGGAGCACTGTCCCCCTGGCCCTCCGTGGACGTTTGCTCCTCCACATGTTTGGTCCCTCAAGTCAAGTTAGTGGCCACACTTGTTTCTCCTCCCCACTCGCTCCTGGCTCTGCCCCTTGGTTCTTCAACCAGCCTTGGCTTGGTCCTCTCTCTCCTCTTAACTAGGCATCCTGGGCAAAGCCACCCTTAGGAGCTAAAGAATGCAAGTGAGGACAGAGTCAGGAGGTTATGCTCAGGAGCAGCAGCAGGTGTTGGTACAAACAAGCACCAGTTAAACAACTTGTTTTTCATTGCATGTGCTCTTAAACTCCAGGTGCACGAGGTTGTCTTCTGTCCACTATTTATTATCCCTCCAAGCAGGCACGCTGAGCTCTGGGCTGACCCAGATGAGCTGTCCTTGCTCCCTGTGTCCCAAAAAGCGCTGCCCAGAAGGGATTTAGAGGCTGGTAATGCCAGTGACAAGACCAGCCTAGGCTTTGTGGCCAAGACAGAGCAGGCTTTGCTCTCCCTCACCTTGGGTGGCGTCCAAAGAGAGGTGTTTTCTCCCGACCTGGCAGAGGAGAGAGCTGCTGTTGCTGCCTGAGCCCCTGGTGAATGTAGTGGGACTTTCAGACCCATCAGTGCTGGGTATGGGGGTAAAAATCATGCATCTGCAGGCACACCAGTCTGCATTGCCCTTGTTTGATCCAGACCAGAAGCACACGGGGACCAGCTGAGCTGGCCAACAAGCCTATAACCTTGAAACCAACTTGCTGGAAACTACCGATACTGGTGGGGTGGGTTTTGCAGCAACCACCTACAGCAAAGGTATGTGACCAAACCCTCCAACCTGCTGGGCAGCAACGGGGTCTGGAGAGCAGACCACCAAGACGAGCAA